AGAATTGCTGTGTGATGCGTTACACCACTGCTGGTCAACTTTTGAATATTATTTCCCCGAGAGAGTTTGTTGATTTCTCCTATACTGTGGGCTATGAAGAAGGACTTTTATCCTGTGGGGTGAGTCTCGACTGGAGTGAAACAAGGCCAGAATTTGTCCGAGGCTATAACCATCCCTGCGGCTGGTTTTGTGTTCCGCTTAAAGACAGTCCAAGCCAGAGTCTTCTGACGGGCTATATTCAGACAGATCTGCGCGGCATGATCCCTCAGTCCGCAGTGGATACAGCAATGGCCAGCACTTTAACCAACTTCTATGGTGATTTGCGGAAAGCTCTACGAAAGGCCTAATACGTTCCACTGCCAGGGCTGAGGTCTGTTGAGTCTGTTCTTCCTTCCCTCAGCTGCATGATCTGTAAATGTCTTCAGTCCTGTCAGCTGTGCAGCCCGGAGAAACGTGGGAGGTGTTTGGCTTCCGTGGTACAACCTCATTTTCTATGGAAAGTAAGTAGCTATGTAAATAGGGCATTTCGGCTTTCTTAAGCGTTTGTTTGCACCTTGTTTGGTTGTGGAAGTCTGTGGAAAGGATGAAATACCAAGATTTAGATACAGGTCCTTTAATGTAGTCTATTCACAAAAGTGAAATTACCTCAGGATGAAATATTTGGCTGCTTGAAAATTACGAAGTGTGCAAGCACAATGCTTTTTGTGTTATTTTGGAGCTTTGTGAACAGTTTGTAAAACTTTAATGATTCTTAATGTAAATGTTGTGCTTTACTCTTGGTATGTTATGTGAGTTTGCCAATAGCTTAGACAAGAAAAAGTCCTCCATAGTCTGTAAAGGTAAATCCATTGTTCATTGACTTGTACCATGTTACGTATTAGAAAGACCACAGTGACAAGAGAATAGCCATTCTTGTAACCATAGGCACAATTAAATACAATTTAATTTTGATATCTAGGTAGCCAGTGTAGGGAAGGAGATGAGAAAGATGGCATTAGAACTTGTTTAGTTTTGTTTCTGAAAGTAGAGGGGTGTGTGGGTGTGTGTGTGAATTTAAACTCAGGAACATTTATATGTTTTAAGTGTGTTTATCTCAAGTATTGTAATATAAAAATACTGTAAAGTGGGGATGATAACTAGCATATAGTTAGGTCTGCACTTCTGTAGCTGCGTTATCACAGGAAAATAATGCAAGCCATATATGTAACTTAAATATCCTAGCAGAGGCTGGAGAGGTGTCATCGTTAAAAGAGTGCCTGCTGCTCTTGCAGAAGACCTGATTTGGTTCCCAGCACCCACATGGAAGCTTACAGCTGTCCATAACTCCAGTTCTTGGAGGATCTGGTGCCATCTGGCCTCAGCAGGCACTAGGCATGCACACAGTACATATACATACATGCAGAGAAAACACTCATACACAGAAAAAAAAATACACAGCTGAAATTCATTTTAGCAGTGTTTTCTTTAACTCACTATATCTAAAATATTTCAGTATGTAACTGATGTAAAAACAGTTATTGAGATACCTTATGATCGCTATTAATTCTTTGAAATAGTATGTGTATTTTACTGCTGTAGACTAGCCATACTTCAAGCGTTCATTAGCCACTTGATGCCTGTAGCCAGTGTAATGAATAACAATTCTACAGTATGTGTACCATTTGTCTTGCTATAAGATGAAGTGGACAATTTGTGATACTGCTTTCTTAAACAGAAATATTATAGCCTAGCACTTTCAGTGCTTGCTGAATAAGAGGTGAATACTTTAGAAATATAAATAAATAAATTACTAATTCCCAGTAAACTAAAAATTATTGCCTCAGAGTTATTTTTGTTTAAAGTACCATTTTATAGGACAGTAAAGAGTGTAACCTACCACATTACTGTGTTGTTTCCTGTAGCTTAGCTTGTTAAGGAAATGTGTGTGTTGAAAATTCTTTCCATAATGTTACCTTCAGTAGATACTGCTGTTTTAAAACAGTTTCATGTAAGTGACATTTTGGTAGGAAATACTGATTTTTGTTGAAAATTCTTGAGTATTTTTTCAATGATTAAAGCAATACTCAGCAAAAATAATAGACTGTAGTGTTCTCAGTTCTTAACTATAAATCATTGGAGTATTAGCATGTAAACGTCTGGATCTCTCCTGTTCCATGCACACAGGGTGTATTTGAAATTGGGGGTTTCCAGGTGTGGAACTATGTCCTAGTTAGCAGGATGTTCCCCCTTCGTCTTCCTTTCTTTCATGTTGGAAGGTCTCTTGACTAGTACTTGGTGAATTAAACTGACAGACCTGAGAATTTCCTTAGATGTGGATGCACCTTTCTTACGTTTATATGGTGGTATTTTATTTGTACTGAAATGTGATTTTATTTCTATGTTAATAAATAAAGTTGCTTGGGGTTCAGAGCTAATAGCAAGCCATAGCAGAGCTGGGCTTCGTGGCGCACGCCTTTAATCCCAGCACTTGGTAGAAGAGCTAGGTTGATCTCTGTGTGGTCAAGGATACAGCCAGCATTGGAGACACATGCCTTTAATCTCAATACCATAGAAGACCTGGAGGGCTGTACAAACAGCCAGTGACGAGGCAGTCATGTGTTTGGGTTTACAACCAATGAGAAAGCAGAACAGAAAGACTATATAAAGACAAACACACAGCAAGTAGGTCTTTTTTTGGAGAGGTCTCTTGGCTTACTTAAGAAGCTAGCTGCAGCAGGTGGTAAGGCTCTTAGCTCTGATCTCTTGGCTTTCTACTTTGCATTGGTTCTGTGTTTCTTATGTAATAAGACGGTTGGTTACATCTACACCTTTATGAGAGCAGAGCAGCATCTTTAGGATCAGATGCTAATTTCTTTTAATTAAATGGATGTTGTAGCTTTCTGAGCCCAGTAGAGAAGGTAACAGAACCAGAGAAGCAAATGGGAATCTGGATTTGACTAGAACTTACGTGGTCACTTGTCCAGCCCTTTCTCCTCCCTTTGTTTCTTTGATTGCGCGGCCGAGGCCTCGTGCATGCTGAGACTAGGCTGTGCTTCTGGCCCCTAAGTGATCTCACTGGACTTCTAGAAGTATGGAGTGGTGAGGTCTGAGCATAGAAGAAACATGAACTTCATTCTAGAGCATGTGACTGAACTTAAAATTTCTTCATCATTGTGTTTCCAGAGATTTTATACATAGTGCCATGTATTAAAATTCATATCCTGCAGTCAACAAATGACGTATTATATTGAGATCATTTTTAGGAAGTTTATCATTTTGTGAATCTATATATATGGGATTAGAATAAAGAACTATGTTATAAATAAAATGTATATTTATTTTTAAATTACAGTGGAGTATATCTGAATAAAGATTTCTAAACATTCTTGTTACTGGTCATTGATCTTGTTTGTAAGTTACTTTAACCTTAAGTACTGACAAAATGCTTATATATCTGAATTTAGAGAATGTTATTTAACCATTTGAACTGTTTAAAAACAAAACCACAAACCTGGAAAGTGAAGTTAACATACACTAATCTGCCAATGTCTCATAATATTAGCAACAATACTGCTAAATATTTATTTGCAGTTTACAACCTTACATTGCTATAATAACATACCTGAGGAAATTAACTGATTAAAGAGAAGAGGTTTATTTTGGCAAAGAGGTCTGAAAGTTCTAGTCCAGCATCCAGTAGCCTTGCCTTGGGCCTCTGGTAATGGCAGCATACTAGATGGGTAGCATGTGCTGGGAAAAAAGCATACATACAAAACCCTGCTTACCTCCCGGTCAGAACATGAAGAGAGGACAAAGCCCAGAGAGTCCCATGTTCCCCTGGTGTTTCCCACTGACCTGTGTACCTCCCATTAGATACCACTCACCACCTCAGAACTACAGGACCAAGTTTCAAGTACATGGACCTTTGTGGAGGCATTCAGCATCCAAATGATAGCAGCTCTTACGTAGCTTGGGCAAATGGGTATCTCCTTTTATTATAATAACAGGGCCAGTTGGGCACATTCAAATAATTGTGCTAAGTTGGTTAAGGGTAGTGGATACTTTAATTTGTAATTGGAAGCAGTTACTAGAATACCCAAAATCTAGGTTATAAAAAAAAAAAAAAAACTAGGAATAGTGTAGTATGTAGTAGAAAATATATGACTGTGAGGTGGCATATGAGTTTCCTCACCTAAACATCTGGTTTATGTTACCTATCTCAACTAATGGCTTAGAGAGGTGATTAGGTCATTTTAGTGATTGCTGTCATGTATGGACAGTAAGAAGGCAGCCTCAACCAGATGCCAAACCTCCAGGTACTTTGATCTTGGACTGGCCATTTCCTCCAGAAATGCTTGAAATATCTTTGTTCATAATCCACCCAGTTTATGGCATGTTGTTATTGCGGCTGGAATGGACTTAGACATCAGTATATAAGTAATCACTAATATTTTTTAACTGAAGAATTTAAGAACAATGTTTGTCGTCTTGGTCTTCCATTTAATAGATAACAGACCAGCCCTGGAAATTGATTGTAAATGCATTCAAGTTGAAAAGGCAAAGCCATGGCACTTTCTGTCCTGTCTTTCTGTTCTCTCATCCCCCAGGGAAAGCTGTAAAGGCAGCTGGGAGCAAGAGTCAGGATTTCCAGCCTCTTGGAGAATGCACCCGTGGTGACTAAAAAAGCAGCTATACCATTGCCCACAGGTTGAGCTTTGGAAGGTAGATGTGAGGTTTCTCTAGATACCATATAGGTAAAGGATGGCCCCCTGACACTGTAATGAAAACATTGTCTTGCTGGATTAAGAAGAAACACTTGGGAGCCTCTTCTAACGGCAGATGCTGCATGCCTGTCATCCCCATAGGTCATGAGATGAGGGAGCATCCCCTCAGGTTAACCAGCGGCTGGTGCTCCATGGCATCTGCCAGCACTATTTTCTTTGCATTTTTGTCTTGCTCCTGTTGCTCTGAGCAAAATGCTGCCTACATTTTAAGCACAGGCTTTTATAACCATGAGATGACACAGAACTTTAAAAAGGATGCACTACAAATGTATCCCAGGAGACAGCGCATATCCATGCCCATGTGTAACCAGCTATGTGGATGAATGAACTACAGGAGTTAAGATAAAAATATGGAGGAAGCAGGTATACCAAAATAAGTTTTTTGTCCATTAATATTCTTTCCTGGAGCATTATAATCCTATTTATGGTTTGCTTTAGTGAAACTTTTTAAGTATAGGGCAGCTGACTTTATTAAGGGAAGTCTAGGGGTTGTAAAACCACAGTGATGTACACATAATGAATGAAGGCCAAGTTGTGTAGCAAATTCATTTACTAAGGGAGTTCTTTTTCTCTAGTATTTTCCTTCATTCCCTCAACGGAGAAGTCTGTGTTTAGGATATTGGCCTTTTCTCAACAAAGGAGGAATCTTGGATGGAATGGTGGTGAATATAAAAAACGTTTAATGACTAATGCAAAAAAGTTTGAAAATTTGTAAGTAAAAATCCACACTAGAGAAACAGTCAATGGCTTTTGGAAAGTATTGGGGGTAAATTTCTGCTTTTCTGTATTCTCATATCTTTATAAGGAAAAGTCAGTTTTCATATGAATTGATGCAGTAATGTCCAGCAGATATTTTAGTAGTGAGAATTGGGCTGACCATTGGGAAGCACTGCTGTCCTCAGTCACCATGAACTTACATGAATAGTTAACTTCCTAGGTGTGTTAACTCGCTTTAAATAAAATGGACTTATTAGATGAAATAATTATTAGTGTGTCTTTCTAGCTTTATTAATTCCACCATCTTACTCTTTAGGAAATAAATATCTGGTCATGTGTTGTAGAATATTATTTTAACTAGGCAAAGATGTGTTATATTTGTTTATCCTGCGGAATATAACCGTGTAAAGCTCTGTTTTGTTTATGCTGCATTTGTTTAATGATGTAAAGTTGAGTTGCATTTGTTTCACCTTGTCTTTCTACACCTGGTCTGATAAGAAGCTGAATGGCCAATAGCTAGGCAGGAAAAGGATTGGCAGGGCTGACAGGAAGAGAGAATAAATAGGATGAGAAATTAGGGGGAAAAAAGGAAGAATGAGAGGAGGAGAGAAAGAGGGACATGCCTGGGGCAAGAATCCAGGCAGCTGCCAGCCAGTCAGACAGACATAGAAACAGCAAGAAAAGGTAAAGAGTCCCGCGGCAAAAGGTAAAGAGAAACAGGTTAATTTAAGTTAAAAGAGCTAGCCAGAAACGTGCCTAAGCTATAGGCTGAGCATTCAAAAATAAGTTTCTGTGTCATGATTTGGGAGCTGGTTGATGGTCCAAAAGAAAAAGGCTGGTACAGGCTTGCAACTATTAAAAGTTCTATAGAAAAGTACAATTTTATCTGCATTTCAGTTGTAAGTGAAATGTCCATGGTATGCCTTGATTCATGATAACCGTTGAAATCACAGAATGCAGAAGTTGTGGTGGGCTCTTAGATGATTTATTATCACATTGTACATGCAGATTCCTTTACAGATTGGCCAGCTGCAAGGCACTGGCTAGCTTCTTTGGGCATGCTCTGACAGTCTGGGTGAGCTTACACAGTTACATTGGTCCTCACTAAGGTCAGTCTCTACAGTTAGCCTAGCAGCATTCACTTTTAATTACTCGTGCCACATAATCTCTTTCAAGTTCTTGGCCAACACCCCTACTATCACCAAATGAGCATATTTAATCATTGGATTGGATTGTCCAACCCGCATCCAAGAAGAATCCAGTGAGCTGTCAAATGTCCTGGACTTTCAGCAATTGAGAGCCAATGGCTGTCTTATTCCCTTCATAGAAAATGTGAGCTCAGGTCAGTCACCCACACTGAAGAACACAGTACCTCAACCATTAGCAAATAGACATGGTTTTGTTGACTGCTTTGCAAACCTTTTATGTATTTACATTTACAGCCAAGCCAGGCTTAACTTATCTAAAAATATTGTAATTGTACCTTTGTATTAAGGAATCAGTAGCACCATTTTGACACATTTAGAAAGTGAAATGTTCACAGCCAACCATAATCTTAGCTGTGTAAGGTATTTGTACTTTCTCCTCCAATTCATCCAAGCTCTCGTTTTGGGTTAATGACTTGTGATCTAGACTCCGGGAAATGTTTTCTTGCATATGATGCTATTCTATACTCCCCCATGTTGTCATTGAAGTTGCATATGTCTCTTTAGTCCAAAAAAACTTACAACCACCCATTAATGTAAATTTCACATCTGAGAAAGTCTCAAAAAGACATCCCAGATAATGTCATCTGAGCCTGAAAACCTCTCTTATCAAGTCTTCCTTATTCAGTGTCCAC